GCTTGGTATTAAAATGTCATATCATATCAGGAAAATCGAATGCTACTAACGACATCTGAAGAAATAGCCGATAAAAGGTTTAGATCATTTCTTCGTTCACCTGCACTTTAATTTCAAACACAACAGAACTTGTAGTTCTTGCCGTGAAACTTCATGACTTCTATAAACTTATAAGACTCACCGCAAAACTCTCAAGAAAGTTTCTCTGAGGTCTATACTACATATGTACCAAATATGTTGTCGATCCGAGGTCTGGTTTGAATTTTACAGAAATATTCTACGTTGTTGTTGATGTGATTTTTTTTAAGAAGGGGGGGGGGAATGAATTATTTATTTTATGCCTCTTTTAAACTAAGAATTGTAACTACTTTCACATCTTTAAGCCTGATTGTGACCTTTGGGTCAAGATCAAAGGTCAAGGTCATTTCCAAAAAAAAAAACCAAAAAAAAAAACAAAAAACAAAACAAAACAAAACAAAACAAGGAAATCTTTACTTTCTATGTTTTTACCTGATACTGGAGCTGGATGCATGTCCTTACTTTTCATTTGACCCAATGTCAAGGCCAAAGGTCAAGGTCAAAGTTCAAGGTCATTTGGTGAATTGCTATATTTTACACATATATAAGGAATTTCTTATGTTTTTAAATGACTTTGACCTTGACGTATATTTCAAGGTCAAAGTCAAACATGCCGATGCAGTTGGTCCCATGTCTCTAGGATACACCGTTTTAAAAAAAGTTCATTAAATGTAAGCAGCATAAAATTTCAGGGGTAGTAACTCATACAAGGGACCAAAGAATGCTTTTGCAATGATAGAATGAAGAGAGTATTAAATGAGTCGAAGACTGCTGCTGAAGGCTTGGAATCTCTACGTTTTACGGTTTCGGAGGAGTAGCGATAACAAGGTTTTATTGCAAAAGGGTTGACAACTTTTGAATGGGTCAAGCTTTGGGGACAAGAATGAAATCCTTAAAATAGTTTTAGAAGAACATATTATAGATGCAAAGATATCTAGTATATGTCGAAAGGTTTTCTACAGAATCTCTGACAAAAAAGCTTTTAAAAATCAGCAAAAACTACCATACATGTTTTTAAAGAGAGAGAAGTCATTAGCAACTGAAAAAAAGAGAAAAACAAAGAAAAAAAAATTAACTACCTCCAGCAGGATTCGAACCCCAGACAGTGGGACAAAGTTTGGATCGGTCATATCTTTGCAATAAATGCACGCATCAAAATATTGAATACATATTTAGAATTCTTGTAAAACACTCTATAAACCTTGTAAATCCTAAAGAAAAATATTGAAAAACAAAAAAGTTGAAAAATTGAACTTTTTGAATTCACTTCCGTTTGCGACCGGAAGTGCCGACGACGAAAAATAAAGGTCGTTCCCCATATTGGAATTTGATGTTCTATTTATTCATTGAGTTTCAATTTCATATCTTTAGCCGTTGTCGAGAAAAATTCTGGACAAAATGCCATTTAAAAATACAAATTTCCCCAAAAATCGCGAACAGAAGTGAATTTTGAAAAAATGAAAAACACGTCTGGAGATATTTACATGATGCATCTTCCGCGAAAAAATCTCTGAAATCTGCTCACTCACAGCTGAGATATCGCCATAACTATGAAAAAAAGAATAATAATAATAATAGAAAACAGACGGAAAACAATAAGGTCTTCCGAAGGAAGTCGGAAGACCTTAATAATAATAGAAAACAGACGGAAAACAATAAGGTCTTCCGAAGGAAGTCGGAAGACCTTAATAATAATAAGAAGAAGAAACAGAGTAAAAACAATATGTTCCCAAACTTCGTTTGGGGAACATAATAAACACTGAAATGGCTCTAACGACATCTGTTTTCCGGTTTTGTAAGCAGTACATGACGCTGAAGAATGACGCATGACTCGCTAGAGTATTTAAGACGTCTATGGACATTTTATTTAAAACTATTGACAGAACCATTAAAAGAAACATATCAGCAATCAAAACATTGTTATTTTTACCAAAATAATTCATCTGCGCCGATGTATACACATAATATATCCGCAATATGGCAAATTTAGAGGTAATGGGCATTGAAGAAAAAAAACTTTGTGATAATTCCTAGATTAACCCAGACGGTCAACTTTTTTGAAATTTCACAATTTTGTGACTTTTTACAATAACTTTTATGTATTTTACTAAAAAGAAATCCCTAGGACAGGAATACAAAAAATATGGGGAAAATGTGATAATTTGGCGCTTTTCCAACAAATTCCCATAGGGTCCAATAATTTATAGATGCCACCCTAAGAAAGCGGGATGGTAAACATTCCATTATTTCATCTTAAAACAATTAATTTAATAGTGAAAATTCATACAAGAAAATTTATCAAAATATCTAGGGTAGAAATAATTAGACTCGGCCTCGTTAAAAAAATGTTTTTGCCAAATATTTTTGCTGACTTTAAAGATGATAAAAATGTGTAATCATTTCTCTAACTGCTAAAATAAATGAACATCTCCTGGCCTTGATATTGGACTGTGTTTAATAATGAAAGAAACAAGAGATCGATCCATGTTCCTCAACACTCATCAGACACCTTGGTTCTACTGTTTTTCATCACAATGGTATTTTAAAAGATTTTTTCTATTAATAAAAAAAATTGTCTATCTGATTCTTCTTGACATATTTTATTAGATATTTATGCATTCACGAACAATAAATTTTAAACGCTAAAGCATTTTATTTGCAAATAAAACAATTTATATTATTTTTCTGGAAAAATACCCCCCCCCCCTCCCCCAAAAAAGAACCATGCAAAATTTCGGTGTAGCTTAAACCTTCTTAAACCTAATTTTTAATGTCCTGTTCACACGGAGAGTTTAATTCGAATTAAACGTAAGTTACTGCGAATTAAATTTGATCCGCGTTCACACGAAGAATTTAATGCGAATTAGTTTAATTCGAATTAGTTTACTACGCATTAAATTACTTCGCATTAGCTCCGTGTGAACGCTAAGCGAAGCTAATTCGAATTAAATTTTGACGCATGCGTAAGGACAGAATTAAGTCACAGGCCACATGTCGATGGTCAAATATAGGTACTTGTGCTATTTTTGAATGGAAAACAAATGAAAATTATGTTAATCACTAAAATGTGTGCAGACACTATGACATTATGTCAAATGTATGTACCTGCTCTGCACAATATGACGTGATTTGTAAATGACGTCATAATAGCCTCACTGAATGGCCTTGTCGTAGAAATAAAATTATAATTCGCATTAGTTTACTTCGCATTAGCTGTCGTGTGAACGCAATTTAATTCGCATTAGTTTAATTCGCATCATTTTACTTCGCATTAATTTACTGCGAATTAAAGTCTCTGTGTGAACAGGGCATAAGTTTGAAATAAAACTTCACACGTGGCTACGGCTACAATGTAGCTTATATACATGCAATAATCATGTATATATTGTGATCGAGTAACGTTTTGTTGTAGTAGTAAAATAATATATGTTAGGAATACACGAGTATAAAAACTATAACATGCGATTTGAGATGAGAGCTTACATGTAACATGCGTGCGTGTTTTTTTTTGGGAAATGAAATTACGCTTTTTGAATGTATTGGACTGTAGCTCTCTGGTCGTCCATCCCGGCATTTTTTTCACACCATGCTAAGAACTTCAGATCTGCGGGTTACTAGCAATAAAACATGAATGAAGATTTGAACCTAATGACGATATCAGGACGTAAAAATACTGTAGAGGTACCTTTTTCCGTGTGGGATTAATTTAAGCTATATAGTATATATACGCCGTCAAAATTTTTAGGTGGAATTTCTTACAACGTTCTTAAAGTACATTTAAGACATACAGTGGCATTCCAAGAAATCCGCGTAATTTCCTATCCGCAGATTGAATAGAAATTGTGATTCCGCGGAATTATGGCCCCGTGAAAAAAAGTAAGTTTACAGTATGTCATCCTTACAGTTTCTTTGTATATTTTTGTCTATTCCTAGTTATCATCATTTATTTGTCCCTCCTAAAACCAATTTACACCCCCCCCCCCCACACACACACACACCAAAGACTGAGGAATGAAAATAGCAATGGCAAAATATGAATAAGAATGTACTTGAAATCATTACAAATCTGTATCACCGTCACTTGATAAAGAGGTCGTTGATCCAAAGAAGTTTCTCTATAATTGATAGATGACATTTTACGTGTATTTTCGATTGAATGTGCCATCTTATGCAAGTTGTTTGATTTCATTATTTTGATCATCTTATAATAACAAACTGTCAATGTATTAGTCATGTACTCAATGGCACTTAAAAATTGTTATTCATTGAAAGACACTACACTAGTTACTTAACAGAAAGTGAAAGCAAATACGATGTCAAACCAAATCATGGTAGTGACTTTTCTCTACAGAGTCAGTCATCCATTCCCAAGATAGTCTAAAGGATAGGATAATTTAAATAAAAAACAAAACAACTCTAAATGTTCATTTATAAAACTTAAAGTTCCAGTGATAACGGTGTTCGAATAAAACATACACACATGTATATATGCGTATTTCCAGAAATCTGATGGTACAATTCGTTGACTCTATATACAGAAATCCTTATATAAAATTAAACTTAATGAACATATCATTTATATAGAGGGACGCGGGCTCTCGTCTGGTCAAACTTGAACCAAGTTTAAAATTTGCTCGTTATTTTTGGAGAAAGACTGACGATAGCCTATTCAATCTGAAAACCAAAAAGTTGAGAATTCTCACACAAATAAGAATTAATCTTTATTACCACATGAATGATACCAAATTTTACTATAAATAAAACCTGTGTATTATAAAAATACTATCGCAAATAAGAGCAGCTTCACAGTAATCAATTTAAGGCTTGTATAGAAACCAAGTGTGTATTCCTATTAAATGGGAGAGGTTTCTGTCTTTCAAATTATAAAAATATTCTTTATCAGAATCTAAGTATAAGAATACCTTGGCCGACGTTGACGACAACGGGTTGTTCAAGAGTGACCAAATTCTGTGTCGAATATCCGTGTCTCCAAAACTACTCCCGCTGTCCACTATGTGAAGCTTTTCAGGGACGGTTTCAAACATTTTCTGCAAGTCTTCATAATCAAATATTTCGTCTAGGGAATCATAATAATACTTCCTACAGCAGTGTGATAAGCATGACCCATTCAGACCCCAGTATTTCATTTCACTCAACAGCTTCTTTGCACATATAAATCTGGGAATGTGCATTTCCCCATACCGGTAAAAATCTAGTATGTATGGAAATAATTCCGGATTTCTATCGAAAAAATACTCATTGTTCATGCGATCATATTCTTCACTTTTAACACTTAAATTTGCAAGTCTAGTTCCAGGAACGGTTCTAATCGTGCCATTATACACTGAAAATTTAGTTCCACCAACATTGATGATAATGCGATGCCAATCCACATCTCTATATTTTTTGGAAGTGACAATTTCTTTTAGTTTTCCAAACAAATCCTTTGTTCTGTCACGTCGACGACGAATTTCATAACTATCATTTTCGGACGTCTGTGAAGTTGTAGACCTAGTGATCCTTGCCAAATTATGCACAGAATGTTGGTGATCGTCTTGCCATGCTGATTGTTTTCTTACAGAAAAAGATATAACATTCATCCTTCATATTCGACTAATAGTTTGACGTTTTATTTCCCTAATTCGTCCATTTTTATACGTTTCGTGTCATTTCCGGTAACGTTCTGCGAGAATAAAAACGTAGCATCATTTTAAATGCATTGTGACGTCATTGTAACGATTGAGTTTACAGCTTTTCTCGCGCGCACTCTGAGAAGTAAAGTCGTGCTACGTTAAAATGAGAAAAAGTACTGTGTAAAGTTGAGACGAAGTTAGTACTTTGATTTTATTTGGACAATAACATGACCCTAACTACTTGACCAGAATAGATTAAGCGAAGATTGACCTATAGTATACCGAGTTGAATGTTTTAGCAAGACAACGACTTGTGATTTTATTACACGGTTGAAGTGTTCAAAGTTCATTTATTCACTGTATTGGTAGTTACATACTGTCATTACGATTAGTCTTACATCCTCCGTGGGTAATCCAGTCGGGAAAGTGAGAGGCATGTGCTCGACCATTCCCCCTTTTCCTCTCCTGGGTTCAAGCAAAAAAATATCAACTGATGCATATTTTTATGCACTTGCATAAGATGTTACATTCAATCGAAAAAAATATAAAATGATTCCACATAACAAATGGATCTTTAATCTGTTATACCTCTAAGATAAAGAAAATCTGTATCTGTCACATACTTTTACCATAAAAAAACACATCTCCAATACACGGACAACAGCTTCCATCATAAATGGTCATAAATCTTAAGATATTACATCCAATATTTATGTAAGATAGTTCTTTCCATCAAAAGAAAAGGTGGGAAGAAATACAAATAAACTGCAACTACTGCCAGCTGGACAGCCTTCCTATAGAACTTACGGCAATAAAACATAATTTGTAAAATGCTAAAAAAATATCTTTCTCTCTCTAACTTTATTTTTTTTTTTCTAATTCATGTGGTATTCAGGTCCCGGTAGTCTGTCGATTTTGTTATCTTTGAATGTGAACTCTTATTTAAGAAATACCGCATCTAGCTGAATAATGCGCAATGCAATTGGGCAACTGGAGGCAGGTGAACTGTAGTCTACAGTTACGCATATCTCGCCTATAACTGATTCAAGCCGCAAGGAAAACAAATGATCGCCAAAAATCTTGCAGACAATGTGTGACCACAGGGACTTGTCACGAAAAATTTGCCTTCTTTAAATATAGTTAACCCCCCCCCCCTTTTCAAAAAAAAAACAAAAACAAGTTAATAGTAGGGGTAACAATCAATATTCCACAACACCAGCTCCTTTCCAACAAGCCAGAAAACAACCTAAAATGTGTTATGCGTCATGACAGTGATAGCGACAGAGAAAAAATGGCCTTACCCCCTGCCCTGGATACTGTCTGCTTCACCTTGCATATGGACCAAAGATTGTACATGTACATGTAATACATTTCATCACACAGTCAGTCCCTCAAACACACATACAAAATGGTTGGGGGGGGGGTCCAAGAAAATCCCCTCCCCTGTACCATTCAATGAACATTTTAATTTTTGGTACTCTGTGAAACTGTAACTGTAACTGTGAAACCAAAAATCTTATTCATAACTCCTTGCAGGTATGCCAAGAAAATAATTCATTTTCAGATATCATCATATTAACTGTACTAGATGGTACATATGTAATATTGGTATTGTAGAATTTTTAGACAGAGTACTTTTAGTCTAGATAAGAGAACCTTGGTCTTTCTTCACCAAATTTCACTAGTGTTATTTTTCTAATTCGCGGTTTATTAAGCATAAACTGCCCCAACCCAGTTTATACCGTATAAAATGGGTAGCTATTAAATTCATTCCTTATAATTTACTTTTCATTCATTTGGTTTAAGACAAAAAGATAATTACCCTTCAAAAATGACTTCAGTTTGTAAAAAAAAATTAAATGTAACATCAGGTGGATCAAAGCATTTTTGATGCAAGTCACTGTGACGTAGGCAAGCCAATTTATACGATATAAAGTAAATTTTTTATCCAATCAAATACAGCGTTACAACCAGAATTAAATTATTTGAAGATCAATTTTTTTTTTAAAAAGTTACTAATACTTATGAATGCTTTTGAAATTTTTTTTTAGCTCATTTGTTTTAATAAAATAATAGAATGTATCTTTTAAAAATATTTATAGAATCTATAACTCTTTCATTGAGCCAACAGAAACACCTTCAAACGTCAAAGCAATGTCCAAAAGATTTTGTCCCACTTCTTGTTTTTCACCCCCAGGTTGAAATTCTGCAGACAACTCTCTGAATGTTATAGCAATCCTACGGTCTGTGATATCACACCTATGAATTCCATGCATCCAAGTATGTCTGGCTGGACCATGGACAACAATCAAAGAACGATGACACATGGGCACATGGACACTTATATCAGGGCATTCTGATGATGTCATACAAAGTATAGTGTCAGACCCTAAGTTCAAGGTCACAAGCCTCTCTCCCCACAACCAGAAGTCGTCATAATGGGGGTCTATTGATGCCCCCCTTTCTGGTACGTATTCCAAATTGCATTGCTCTACTGGCTTGAAGTCCTTAAGAATTTCTATTGATTTCATTCTTTCATAAAGTGGTTTACTAAAGTTTGGTAGTCCAGTGAAAACTTCAGATTTGACTTTCTTCCTTTTAAAATTCACCTTTGGACCATAATCCTGAAAGTAAAATATGGGTTATTCTTTCATTGAACCAAACAAAGCCAAACATTTGTCACGACATGAACTTTTATCACAGTGATTATATTTATTTGTTCATTTCTGAAAACTGTCATATTCCCTCTTTACCTTTATTATTGGCTATTAAATTCAGTAGAAATAATACTGTGATGAAAAGATATTTGAGAAATAATCAAAATTGAGAAGAAAAACCATGAATGGTGAAAAAAAAAATAGTTAAGGAAACACTAAACTGGCCATGCTTTACATAAAAATATTCTCTTTTCTGAAGCAACATTTCATACAAATAATATCATTTAATATGTTGGTTTGGTTTTGAGAAAAACCTAAATAATTACAAATGTATTTTCATGATTAAAAAAAAACAAAAATGATATCTACATGTATTTTAATTACTGTAAACCAATTTTTATTTGCGTGCAAGAAAAATTCTTGAGTTTCGCGACCTACTTTAACTCGCTAATATTAATCGCCACGAACAATTTATTTTTCTTTATATTTGCGTAGAGAATGTTTTTCAGTCACGAAAATTAATCACCGCAGATCGATTTCAAACTGACAAATCACAAATGAAAGATGATGCGAATAATAGTTGGTTTACAGTATAATTAGAAAAAGGCAACAGATGTGTTTAATGTATACTCTTGGTTCTTAATTTTCATGAGGATCAAATTTCATGAATTTGACACCTCCCATCCCGAAAAAAAATTGTTGATATGTTAATTTGTGGACAGAAGCCTTGTCCTATTCTATGAAAATGTGACAGAGTTAAAAGTGGCTATGTGTTTTTAATAGTGAGAGGCCACGCTCCTACTAGCACCTACCTAGTGGGTTAACCTTTTACCTCAGTCAGTAGAGCGTTGGATTTTAAATCTGAGGGTTGTAGGTTCAAGCCACAGCGTGGACAACCCAAAGCTAATCGGTCATAAATTATAGTAAAATTTGTACTGTAGTTTACTGATCACTTAATTTTTTGATCTAGCTTAACAACAAAAATGGATGTTCAACAAAAAAAACAAAAAACAAGATGTATTTGTGAAACACTGATGTTCCTGTATGCCAGCTTATGACAATGGTTAAAGTTTCTCAAATGCATTTCAAACTCCAAGGTCAAGAGATCAAAATTGTTGGTACCCAAAGGAAGGAATACACCTGTGAAATATAAGAGCCCTAGCACCAACCATTCAAAAATTAAGACAAAGGTTAAAGTTTTTCAAAAGTAGGTCAAACTCCAAGGTCAACATCAAAAGGTCAAAATTGTTGGTACCCAAGGCAAGGTCTTGTCACAAGGAATACACATGTGAAATATGAAAGCCCTAGCTCCAACCACTCAAAAGTTATGGCCAAGGTTAAAGTTTGGTAAAATTTTGCAAAATTGGGTCAAACTCCAATGTCAAGAGGTCAAAAATGTTGGCACTGACGGAAAGGTCTTGTCACAAGGAATACACATGTGAAATATGAAAAGCTCTAGCTCCTGCCATTCAAAAGTTATGGCAAAGGTTAAAAGGTTTTGCAGACAAACAAATAAACAGACAGAAAGACGGATGGACAGAGCAAAAACTACATGCCCTCAAATCTTTGATTAAGGGGGCATAAAAAAAGATGAAACTTCAGTAATATATAAGATAAAGTTACCTAAATTAAAATATTTACTTGTTTTCGTCTTCCAGACTGAGATTCAACAAAAGGACTTTGATAAATGTGCTTTAAAATATCCAGCTCCTCCTCAAGGGATAAAAAGTCTCTCTGAATGAAGATTCCTGGAAATTCCAGAGAGTTCCCATGGTGATTTGGATGATCTTCACTTTTGCTTTCTTCAAAGGCTTTGTTACATAGATCACAAAAATAGTGTATTTTACTGGAACACTACAATTTATTCAATATCAAAAATGAGATATTTCATACATGTATTGTTCAGATATACATTATCTAATATATTTAGATCATTAATACTTATATACTGCATAATCTAGAAAATTAAAAATTAATATCATGTGCCTTAGGCCTTATTAGTCCCCTACCGGTGAAACCGGAGGGGACTATAGGTTTCCTCTGAGTCTGTCCGTCCATCTGTCTGTCCGTCTGTCTGTCTGTCTTTCTGTCCGTCTGTCTGTCTGTCCCTCTGTCTGTCTGTCAGTCTGTCCCACTTGGTTTTCCGCACTTTTTTCTTAAACGCTTGCAGATATTGAGCAGATTTTTGGTATGTGAGTGTATCTTGATGAGTTACAGATCAAGTTTGCATTTCGTTCCGCTTCATTGATTTTTGACGGAATTACGGCCTTTTCAATTTTTCAGGGTTTTCCGCAATTTTCTTCTAAACGCTTGTAGATATTGAGCTGATTTTTGGTATGTGGCTTTACCTTGATTAGTTATAGATCAAGTTTGCATTTCGTCCCACTTCATTAATTTTTGACGGAATTATGGCATTTTCAATTCTTAACGGGAATCAGATTACACTTGCTGGTAGGGGACTAGTATTGCTAATGCAATACTCTCAGAATGCTTGTTGGTTTTATTACATGATTTATTATACTGTATACAGGGTTATTTTCGCCCCGTGTTATTTTCGCCCATTCACACTTGCAAACAATTTTGCCTCATTTTAAATTCGCCCAGCCACAGTTCTATTTAAGAAATTATACTGTGTTCTTTGAATTCGCCCCATTTTAAATTTGCCCTAGAGTAGGGCGAAAGGGGCAAAAGTAAAACAGGGGCGAAATTTTCCCTGTATACAGTATGACCTTTTATATGTCCATGTAATGTTCATATATCTCATACAGTCATTTAGGGTATATGTTGAATCAGCTTTTACATTTTGACTGCAGCGATTTGATTAACAAGTTTACAACTGGTTGTTTGGTAATAAAGGAAAGCCAGTTCTATGACTAATCAGATCTACATTACAGGGTGAGTCTATCTTCAATACAGCGATCTTGATGGTCCCTGGTTATATTTACATCACCTTTCTGGTGTACTGCAGCTCACTTCTGGGTATTTTGAATTACAAGGAAAATGGGTAAAAAAAAAAATGGCCTGATAACAACATTATAATTTATTAATTAGTTGGTATTGTTTACCAAAAAGCTCCAAATATAAAAATAATTTTTTTCTTGATTGTTATCAAGAAAATTTAAAATAGTTCTGGGATAATTCAAGTTATATTTAAATTTCCCGGGATGCCTCTAGAATGTTGAAGTGTCTGAATAGCTGGAATTTGTCGTTTTGAATCGGGTTTTACTATTTGCACTTAGTTCCGGGCACGTTAACGAAAAGTTTGAAAAAGTGTTTAAAAATCAAGTTTTAGGAATTATTTGCAAGATGTGTTATTTACAGGACACTTGCTATACAAACGCGCTATATGTTAAACCACGATTATTGCCCTTGTGTCATTACCATGCAACCATGTAAACTTCGGTTCTCCCCAGGTCGATTTAGAAAAATGAGCCTCAAATCCAAGAAATTGTATCTGTTTTCTGTTGATTAAATGCGTGTTGACGACTGACAAATGCATCAACATTTAGGAAAACCATCAATGTAGGGGACAGAACTATGACAAGGAAATAAATTAATGCTTTAGAGTCCAGAAATAGGCGCTGAAGTGGATTGGGGTATTTTTTCCAAGACGAGAGCTTTCGTCCCTTGTAGAGTCACAGGGACTTGCTCCTGGCGTGTAATAATTTTTCATTAAAAATAAACATATACGGTAATACTAAAACAACACAAGGGAGGACGCCATTTTGGACCCCTTCCTGGCTTCAACCTCTGTTTTTGTTATATTTTCCCATATTTTACTGACTCACCACCTCGGATCTGTCAAGTAATGATTCTTCTAGGACATAATGCTTAAATTTTCCCCTTGGAGCCCCTACAATACACATTTCAGACTAATAATAATCCAAACTCGCTCTTAGAACAGTTGATAGGGACAGTAAAACCAAAACACATTCAAAAATCTCGGGGTTTTTCTACTAGTTAACACAGCTGCTAATTATAAATTTGAAAAAAAACGCGTTCTAATTCCATATTCGAATTTAAAAAGCCGAGGTTACTTTCATTTTCTGAGTCAGTAAAATAAGGGAAAATATAACGAAAACAGAGGTTGAAGCGAGGAAGGGGTCCAAAATGGCATCCTCCCTTGTGTTGTTTTAGTATTACCGTATATGATTTTTTAAAATAAATAATTATTACACGCCGGGAGCAAGCCCCTGTGGTCAGGTCCAGCACAATCTCTTGATTTAGCTATATAGCTTGATTTAGCTATATAGCTTGATTTATCTATTCAGAATAGCTTGATTTAGCTATTTTATCACACTTTTTTCTCAAATGTATTATTTTCTCAGCATGCACAAAAAGTCGCACCTTGGTGCAATGATAATATTCAACCTTGAACTCTTCTGAAAATAATGCATGTAAAAATCACTAATCAAATTGTGTCTCCTTAAGAGACTTTGTACTCAAAGTTCTAAACTAAATGACAGAAAACATTTACCTTGATTATTTCATTTTCTTTCCTTTCTTTTTCGCAGACAAGGCAAGATCGAATACCTTTACAACCGCACTGTGACATATTTTTACCCTATGTCAACACTGGAAAAATAAACTGCACTGTAAAATTAAAGCTAAGAAGAGGGGACTTGCTGAATCCGTATATGACGTGTTCATACATTGAAAAGTTCAAATTCCTGAAAAAATATATTTAGGAACCAGTCTTCCAGGTGGAGTAGATTTTTTTGTTTTGTAAATATGTGCTCCCGGGGGGGGGGGATCCAGAATTTCAAGTAAGGGGGGAGGGGGTGCCTACATGACAGCAGAAATAATCAAGGACATATCCAGGGGAATTCGTAGGGCCAAGGAAAAAAACCCTTCATATTCTCTAACAAACAAAAATTTTTGCATCTTAAGCCAAGTGATTCTGATCTGATACACTACTGAGCTAGAAAGGGGAAGGGGGACACGAAAAAGCTATTTCGAGGGGTGGGGTGGGGTTTGGCATAGTTTCATCACAAAAGGAAACCACTCTCCTATATATTTCAGCCATTATTATGTTTCTTCACTGACATTTTTTTTTTGGAAAATTTAAGGGAGATGCGCCCCTAGATCCCCCATCCCCACTAATGACAGTAGGTATTGTAATTTTAATATACTATCAAATCTTATCATAGATCCACAGCTGTTCAATAGAGGTTTCAATTTGATCATACACAAACTAAATAACACAAATAATCGTTTCTTCGATAAGTTTTTTTTTAAATCTTTGTAACGGGTATTAATTCAATTGTGTAATTAATCGAAAGTTATTAACTTTTTTTATAAGAAAAAATGTATTATAAAGAAATAAAGCTTCTTGGCATCTAATTATTCGGACTTAACAACTTTTAGGTCAATATCTAGTAAATAAAAGGTGGCTACAGATGTATATGATACTTTATAATTGTAGCTTGGTAATATAAAAAGTGTATCGGGGCATAATTTTTAGGTAAACACAACGATAAAACATATTTTAAAATGTTGCGGTCGTTTTCAGTGAAAAATGAAGATATAAATGGGAGGTTTTTTCCACATCAGACAAAAGAAACAATTATCCAGATTTCCAACAACGTCTCAGAAAACCGTTATTTACATCTTCTTCACCTCTTCTAAAAAATAAAATAAAATTGAATACATGTATATAGCCTGGATTACTTTTCAAATTTAATTCTATGAAAATGTTTTATTTTCTTCATAATTCCATTATAGGGAAAATTATTTTGACGTCATAACCAATCTAACACCAAAGGTCAGTATAATCTCATTTACTAAATCTTGACCTATCTTATTTTTTGCCCGAAATGAGGAATTTTGCTACTATCTCTACTAAATATAATATTATATATACATTTTTTAACCTATACTATTTAAAGCTCTATATGGCGTATCTGAGCTAAAAAAAATTAAAAAAAAAAATAAGAATACGAGATTGAGTATAGACAAACATGATATATGTTATTTACGTTCAAATTAAAATTTTCACCGATTTTGAAGCTGAATAACCCCATATTTCCATAGTTAAACTGACTTTAAACTGTGTCTGTTATTTAAATGCAGAGTCTGTAAATAAATCGGTTATTGTTTAAATTTCTAACATCTTTGAAACGTCATTGATTCAAATTGTGTTTACAGGAAACTTCTATCTTTATAAAAAGTAATAAAACAAACAGCAAGATCTTTTTTAATTTTAGCTAGTCTGAACTTATAAAAATACGCCATATATTACTTTAATTTTTCGGCACCCGGCTGAGAAAATGAAGAAAATTTCAGAAATGATTACGCATGTCAAATTAGTCTGAAAATATTTTTCTTCGAAATTGAAAAATATTTATACTATACGAATTTGACACTGTGTTTAAATTGTTTGCTTAAAATGTCAAAAAGATAACTAGAGGTCATATTGTAAATTTTTATATCAAAGAAAAAATATTCCTCAGGGTATTCTGTTTACATTTTTAAAGTGTAAAATGTTTTCATTAAAACTGTACATTCTATAAAGCAAGACAATGAAATTTATTGTGTTTACATTATCTTCCATCAAGATGAAACCGATAACGTTACATTTGAAATAAAATTTGATTAAAATAGACGTAGTCGTTTGTAAACATATAAACAAATAATTATCAGTGTCTCTGGTATACATGCTTTGGCATAAAAACACTTACTATTAAGCATTTTAAATTTTTGAACTCACTCCGTTGATAATTATTTTATATCGGAAATATCAAAAAGCTTTTGTTGTTTCTTTCTGATATGTGGCATTTAAAAGATCCTGTTTGAAAACGCGGGAAAAGGTTGAAGAAAAATATGAGCAGGTACAGTGTTTAATTATTGAACCTTTTAAATAATTAATGAAAACAGTGCTGTCGAAAAATAATTAAAAAAAAAATATTGAAAGGGAATTTAAAAAAAAATATATATGGTAATTCTTCAAGCATAGGATTCATATTGATTGATTTTATAGTACAATTTTTTGTATGAAATCGCTAATATCAATATAATTTCGGTAAATTCGAGTAGTGATGGGCACATCATATTTTTTTTTTTTTTTTTTTGTTACTTTACGTGCTAAGATGTGAGAGGTCACTTTTATTTTTTTTTCCCGGTGGTCTGATGGATCCATACGGAGGTCTAGTTTGTGCATCAAAAAACATTTTAAAATAAAAACAATTCTTAGCTTTGCTGTGTACGTGTTGAATTTGAATGAACTCGGTGTTCTTTTAGAGTAAAGAGTTTTGTTAGATTCTACAAATCTTGAAAGATGCATTGAAAGACATTTTTTAATAATTTCAACAGCAGTATAATTATTACATATTTTGATGTTACTGAAAATTGCAAAAAAAGTATAATATTAACTGATTAAAGAAATTAGACTTCTGAGTTACAAATTGAGATAAAAGAAGGTGCATCAATTTGTTTATTGCAACAAATTAGATAATTGTTCATTAATTTTTTTGTAACAAATTATGATCTAATTAGCCCTTTCACGATAACTGCGGTACTACTCTTTTGCAGGGCAAATTAATAACTTTTGGTGAAGTTTTTGATGACAGATAATTAAATGACGTATATTAAACAATTGCTTTTACGTCACATTTCACCAAAATTTATCATTTTGCCCTGCAAAAGAGCAGTACCGCAGTTATCGTGAAACAGTCTATTTGGGGGTCACTTCAAACAAAAGTCAAACAGAGCCTGTTAAATGTGACACTTTATACTGAGTTTTCTAATTACCTCTCTTGCAATTATCTTGGAACGATTATCACACCTGCCAAATTATGAACTCCCTCACATCCCTTTGATCTTGGGATATTGAGTAAAGTAGGGGTACTTCCACAATAGGTTGGATGATTCCATTTTTTTCAAGTTACAATTTTTTGATATTACATGTATCACTTAATCAGTGACACCAGAAGAGTGAACAGCAAATTGATCAGGTAAAAAAAAAATCAATCTTGCCTATACAAATGTACAAACATTATTTGGTATTCTGTAAATAATTGCAATATATTTTGTAATTAACCATATCTACATATGTAAGAATTTAAGCTGTTCCTTGCATTTTTTCTTCCTTAAATAATTTTATCTTCTAAAAAAAAATATTATTTTTGAAAATTCAAATCAAGAAATTTGTGTAGTATCTTTTTTTGTGATAAAAGCTGAATGTTTTGATAGATTGATTTGGTTTGTTCATGATTTTATTAATGTTCCTTATGACTTTTTTGCCCATGAATTAAATTTAAACATGTATTTCATTTAAGTAGACGGTTTTATGAATTTTTTTTTAAAAAAAGTTCTGCATGCTGTTTTTATTTATTTATTTGGAGTATTGTAAACTGAGAGCGAAGAATCAACAGAAATTAATTTATCATTATATTCACTGGCATGTTTAATTTAATAGTGATTAATTCTTTTTTTTTTTTTAATTCAGAACAGATACATTTTTTTTTTTTAGGAAAGAACAAATTTAGTACTTGAGCTTAATGTTATGTATTTATATTTAATGTTGTTTTCAATCAGGTAGTCCTTTATGGATATTTTATTGGACCACTGTTCTCTAATGAATTCAAAACCAGACTGACTTGTCAAAGAGTAATAGCACATTAATTTTGGCCCCTGTTGAAGATTAACACCAAAACCAAGCTCTAATGGGCCTTAATTTTTTGGAGAGACATTTTGTTCTATGTAAATTAAATTTTATAAACATAAATGTGTGTTTGTATACATGTACTTTACATATTGGTTATATCTTGACTTGATTAGAAAAATGTTTATATAGTTAAATGTTAGCTAGATTTGGCAAGAAATTAGTGCCGACTTTCACCAATGTTCAATACTTAGTATCACAATTACCTCACAGTTATCTAACATAATGGCGCTCTTTTGCGGCGAAGTCGAGGAAACTCTAAATCTCGCGAGATTTCCAGGGCATGAATTACTTACGCTAGCGACAGTCAAATGATTTGAATAATTAGTATGCAGAAAGTACAATGTATTGCAAAGGGTTGAACTTCAAATAGTAGGTTTTTTAATTTGGAATGTTTAGAGTTTTTTTTTATCAGCTTCCTAAAGTAATGATTATCAGAAAGAAATAACTGAATTTAATTAGAAGAGTTGGCTTAGTGAACATGGTGAAAAAGTATCAATAAAAATGTTACACATGAGGACTAGGTTCTCTTAAAATTTATAAGCATGGTTCAACGAATGTTCTGCAAGATATTTCACCGGGACTTCTTTCTTATCTGCCCTTTAAAAATCCACAATGCTTGATCTCATGTTGTAGGCAAAAGCACATTGCCCCCAGCTAACAGACGTTTCCTATCTTCACCACGAAAGAGTTCCATTAAGTTAAGTAATCGCGAAATCAAGTATTGTAACCCTGTTACAATACTATTTAATCCAGTATGAAAGGTTAAATAAATATCTCTCAATTAAAGGATGGTCATTTAAATCCAGAAGGTGGTCTAAAAAAAATTTTAAGTTACACTGGTTACAATTTTATTCCTTTGGTGACAATCAGTTATGATGGTTACAGATCATCTGAAACCAAAAGGGGTGTTTATTAGCTCTACTGGTAAGAGACCAGAAGAGCTTATGGCATAGTAAGGTGTCCATCTGTCTGTCTGTCTATAAACATTTTTTCAAAATACTACTCCTCCTACTGATTTCAATATAATTTGGCACACAAGTAGACTGCACTAAAGATACACAATTCTGTTATCAATTTTTGATTTAAATGAATGGTGTTGCCATGGTTACTAAAAATAGAAATTTCTGTGAAATACGTTCAAAATGCTATTCCTCCTACAGTTTTGGTTTAATTTCAATATAACTTAATTGGCACATAAGTAGACTATACTTAGGTACATAATTCTATTTATCGGTTTTGATTTCAATGAATGATATTGCCATGGTCACTAAAAATAGAAATGTCTGTGAAATACTTTCAAAACGCTACTCCTCTTAGAGTTTTGGTCTGATTTCAATATACAAGTAAACTGAAGTTATGTACATAATTCTCTATATCGGTTTAAGATTTTGATGAACGATGTTGCCATGGTTACTATAAAGAGAAATTTCTGTGAAATACTTGCAAAACACTACTCCTACGGTTTTTGTCTGATTTCAGTATAACTTAGCACACACGTAGACAACACTAAGATAAATAATTTTTTTTATCATTTTTTGATTTCAATGAATGATGTTGCCATGGTTACTAAAATCAAAATTTCTGTAAATTTTTTTTAAAAGGCTACTCCTCCTACACTTTTATTCTGATTGCAATATTCTATTTATTGCTGTTGCAAAGTTTCAAATCCAAGTGCAACTTTTCTCTTCCCTCTCCTTTCCTTTGTTTTTAGTTCAAAACCAGTAGAGCTACAGTCTCGTCAGAGACTTCTGGTTTTTAGGAAACACTGGTTATAACAATTTTCTTTGGTGACAATCAGTAACAATGGTTACAGATCATTTGAAACAAAAAGGGTCTTTATTTTTAGGTTACACAGGTTACAACTATATTCCTTTAGTGACAATTCATTTAACAATTGGGATCTTGTAGATACAGCTGTTACCACTGTTACCATTGTAAACAGTGTAACCAATTACCAGTAATAACTGAATAAATGAAGAATGGTGTTCATCAGAAGCTTATGTATAAACCTGTGTTACTGGTTACAAATGTAAATAAAAATTTAACACTTTTAACTATTGTAACCAGTGTAATCAATTCAAAACTGAATAAATGCTCCCCATTGAAAAGGTTATGTAACCCTTGTTACTGGTTACAATTGAACATAGGTGAAAGCACTAAATTCTTGCCATTGAACATAGGTGAAAGTCAGCACTAAATTCTTGCCATATATGCTTTTTTTAACAAACAAGACAAAATAATTTTTTAAAGTATTCATTTTCAAATATGTTTATGATGCATATTTTGGATTCTGTGAAACCTAGCATCATCAAATCTTGTCAGTTGATGCATTCCCTGGAGTATATAATCAGTATATCAACTAAAAAGCATCACAGTGACCTACTTTTGGAATTAAGGAATTTCATGCTACATTTTTATATTACAGATACTAAGTGGATTAGAACCACCAAATTTTGTCAGTTCATGCATCTCATGTCCTTAGAGTGTGTCAACCAAAAAGTAGGTCACTGTCACATACTTTGAGAATTTCTTGGCTATATCTAAATATTATAGATAAGGCCAAAAAAATAATAGTCTTGTTTCCTGCTACCCGACCTACCCTATTTTTTGCACCCGACCCTAAAGTGTTTTTAAGTTTTGGAGAAAAAAAAATCGGGAATTTCCGGAATTTCATGTTCCAAAACTGAAAAAAATATATATTCAAGTGGTATTTCATGAAATTCTATGTTTTAAATATGGACTTTCATAAAATACCACTTGAGTTGTGCATCAAAAGACATAAAATTTTAATTTTTAAAGATAATATTGATCTATGACATGTTTAATTTAATCTTGTTTTAGTTCATGCCCAAAAATATCATTGGAAAAAATAAAATTAAATTTAAAAAAAAATAATTTTCCTACCTACCTACCCTATTTTTTCTCAGGCTGGAAGCAGGAAACAAGACTAATATTTTTTTTGGCCTAAGAGGTTTAAAATCATCAAACTCTGTCAGTTGATGCATATTGGGTCCTCAGAGTGTTTCAACCAAAAAGTAGGTCACCATGGCCTATTTTTGGAATTTTCACACTTTTATCTCAACATAAAGAATACTAAGAGTTTTCATACCATTAAATTTTGTCAATTGATGCATCTTAAATCAATGGACTGTGTCAACTAAATAGTATCACAGTGACCTACTTTTGGAGTTTCATAGTAGTATCTCTATATTAAGGATACTAAGAGTAATCAAACTTTGTTAGTTGTCATTTGAGTCCTCAGAATGAGATTGTGTCAACCAAAATGTAGGTCACTGTAAACATCTTTGGAATTTCAGAGATGTATCTAAATATTTTCAATTGAAGTCATTGAATAATAAGAGGCTTAAAATCATCAGACTTCTCAATAACTGGGCTTAACTGTTTATTCTGGTTAAAAAAGAGATTTTAAAAAATGCTTGGTTATAATATCAAAATAAAATAAAAAGATCTTCATGTACATTTATGATGAATTTGAAGTATTTTTAGCTCACCTGTGAGCTTTTTAATTACATTTTATCCATCGTCCGTCTGCCCAGCTGTCCGTCCGTCCATCTGTCTGTCCATCTGTAATCTTTTCAGATTTTCGACTTCTTCAGAATCACTGGGCCAATTTCAACCAAACTTGCCACAAAGTATTCTTGGGTGAAGGGGATTCGAGTTTGTTAAAATAAAGGGCCACATCCTCTATCAAGGGGAGAAAATGAATGAAGAATTAGTGAAACTTTGGTTTTATCTTTTAAAAATCTTCTTCTCAAGAACCAACAGGCAAAAAATGTTGAAACTTATATGAAACCTTCTTTACATAGTGTAGATTCAAATTTGTTCAAATCATGACCCCAAGGGGTAGGGTGGGGCCACAATGGGGAATCAAGTATTACATAGGATTGTGTAGGAAAGTTTTTTTAAAGAACAACAAACCCATGATTACCGGTAGTCATTATAATATGGAAAAGGGTTTTCACTAGGATTTTGCTAACTTGAGTCCCAGGATTCAAGATTTCTGAGAAGATGAGTCCCAGAACCATGACAAAGAAATAAATTAATGCTTTAGAGAATTCAGACATAGGCCTTGAAATGGATGGGGGTATTTTTTCCAAGATAAGAGCTTTAGTCCCTTGTAGAGTTTATGTATATAGGTGTGGTAAATCTATTTTAAACGTGGTTTTTCTTGACTAAAAGTGTCAGAACCTTTATTTTAACAACTTTTAAGTGTATTTAAAGTAGATTCAAAATTTTATTACGGTAATTTATTTCACATTAAATAATCCCATAGACAAGTCCCTGTGGGGTAGAGTAGGACCACAATGCACTATAAGAGTTTAACATAAGGATGTATGGGAAAAAATTCTCTAAAATCTTTTTTCTCAAGAACAGCAAAGCTATATTTAGTCTCATTGATATAGAAGTATCTTGAGGTAGTGTAGATTCAAGTTTGTAAGAATTTTGACCCTGAGGGTAGGTTGGTGCTACATCTATAAAAATCATGACATCTGGGGGGTAGGGTGGGGTTATAATAGGGATCAAATTTTTATATAGGAATATGTGTAGAAAAATCTGATAAAGAACTGCAGGGCCATATTGAGTCATGGTAGCATTGTTTTTTTGTTTTTTTTTGTTGTTTTTTTAACGGCATCACGTCATATGACCCCATAGACTAGTTGGGATCGTTTGTCAAAATCTATGTAATATATGTCTTTCAAAAGAAAACTTTGATGGTTGAGATTGTTTCATAATTAAATGCTGTAAATAATATTTTATAACAGAGCATTCACTAAACATGCTAAACACATTTACTTTTCTGTTGTAGGAAAATGAAACAAGTGAAGTCATTGTCAGTGGGTCTAATCGGACAGGTCGAGGGGTCGCAGAGACTGCCCACCATCAGGTCACTCATGTAAGTCTTTGTGTTTTAAGGATAGGTCATGGGGTCAGAAAAGACTACCCACCATCAGATCACTCATGTAAGTGTTTAATAGGAAAGGTCGAGGGGTCACAGAGACTACCCACCATCAGATCACTCATGTAAGTGTTAAAGGTTTATAGGACAGGTCAAGGGTCACAGAGACTACCAACCATCAGATCACTCATGTAAGTCTTTGTGTTTTAAGGATAGGTCATGGGGGACACAGAGACTACCAACCATCAGATCACTCATGTCAGTTTAATAGGAAAGATCGAGGGGTCACAGAGACTACCCACCATCAGATCACTCATGTAAGTCTTTGTGTTTTAAGGATAGGTCATGGGGTCACAGAGACTACCAACCATCAGATCACTCATGTAAGTCTTTGTGTTTTAAAGGATAGGTCATGGGGTCAGAAAAGATTACCCACCATCAGATCACTCATGTAAGTGTTTAATAGGTAAGATCGAGGGGTCACAGAGACTACCCACCATCAGATCACTCATATAAGTCTTAAAGGTTTATAGGACAGGTCAAGGGTCACAGAGACTACCCACCATCAGATCACTCATATAATTCTTAAAGGTTTATAGGACAGGTTAAGGGGTCACAGAGACTACCCACCATCAGATCACTCATATAAGTCTTAAAGGTTTATAGGACAGGTTAAGGGGTCACAGAGACTACCCACCATCAGATCACTCATATAAGTCTTAAAGGTTTATAGGACAGGTCAAGGGTCACAGAGACTACCCACCATCAGATCACTCATATAAGTCTTAAAGGTTTATAGGACAGGTTAAGGGGTCACAGAGACTGCCCACCGTCAGATCACATACAAGTCTTAGTGTTTTATAGGACAGGTCAAGGGTCACAGAGACTACCCACCATCAAGTCACACATGTAAGTCTTTTAAAGTATGAAGTAAGAATTTTAAAGTACAGGTCAAGGGGTCACAGAGACTGCCCACCATCAGGTCACACATTTTAGTCTTAGAGTTTTATAGGTCAAGAGTCACAGAGACTACCCACCATCAGGTAGGGGAGTAGTGATACAGCTGATGCTTATCACAGACACTATATACCTTGATGATATGCCATGATATACAGAGACTGTATAACAATCAAAATTTACTGTGATATATTACATTTAATTTTTTTTAAAAATTAGGTCTCTTCTTAAATAAGAAACTATTTGCTAGTTTGCCATCAATGTCTTTCCCAACACCAAAATATGAAACTGTGACAGATGTGTAAGACTGTATATTTTTTTTTTATTTTCTGAAGAAGAACAAGGCAATGTGTAGTTTTATTGATAAAAAAAGCATCATCAGTAGTGCAGATTCAAAATATGTAAAATCTTCAACCCCAAGGGATAGGATGGGGCCACAAAAGGAGATCATAATTTTACATGGAAATAAGCAGGAAAATGTCTTTAAAATATTTTTCTAAAGAATGAACAATGGGGCCATGCAAACATGATTAATTGCATAACAAGATCACGTCAAGCATCATCAGGTATTCATACATGTGATATGTTTCAGACAAAAAATGTCGATAAAAGGATACATATTTAATATATATACTAAATTTCAAGTCTACAATAGCATTAGAACTATTACTATTGCAAGCAATTATTACAGTATTCTTGTTGAATTTTATATTCACACTATGCCCAGCAATGTTGAATTTTGCACTTAAGACTGTCTTTAGTAAAGTGTATCATTCGAGAATCCCTGTCTCTTTGACTCTGTGTTAGAATGGACAGTACCATGGGCCAAATAGACTGTACACTGAATTTTTTGTAAGTGACTGTCAAGAATGTTGTTTTCTTTCTTTTGGCAAAATAATACAGACCTAATAAGTTATAAATATTAACCCAGGACTCTACATAACTTTTTTCCCTATTTTTCCATCCTGACAGGTGACCAAGACATTTACTTGTCCAAACTTCAACTTCAGTGAAGTGAATCACTTGTCCAAAATTTTTTTTAATAAAGATCTAATACTGTCAACTTGAAAACTATTAATTAAAATAAAGTCCATTATATAAGTACTTGATTGATTTGTGATGTTATCAATAAATACAACAAACTCATAAAACAAAATTTTATCTAGACTTCCAATCCTGACAACAACATAATTTTTGCTAGTGAAATTGTCAACATCAAACAGAATCCAAACTTTGTAAGATTATAACCATATAAGAGAGGGTGTAGTGTGAAGTAAATTATATAGCAATTCATATCGGGATCCAAGTTCAGTTTATATTGTAAACTTATGATAAACTTTTCACCAGTCATTTTTTTTATGAATTGAAGACTTCATTACATAAAAAAGCACTTGTCCAATCGGACAAGTGCCAAGCAATATTCACTTGTCCATAATTTTTTTTTTCACTGGTACCAGACAAGCGGACGAGCCTTAAAGTCGAGTCCTGAAACCCTGACCTAAAAACAATTCAATCTATTGTAAGAGAATTTTGATACATGGTTATGCAGGGTTCTCTACAAGCGATTTACCATGGTTAAATTTATGTGCATCATGGTTAAACGAGCTGCACCATGGTTAAAATCGGCGACCGCCATGATTAAATTTTTATTGCATTTTAGTATTGACACCTAGTTTTTTATGACATGAGTAGTTTATTGTGTTTATACTGTGACTGGCATGCACCTCGAGAGAAAGCGGACTGTGCTAAACAAACACAGCCATTGATCACCGGATATACGGTGAAGTGTGGCAATTGAGAGTCAGTCAGTTGAGGATCGAGAGTTAATTTTCCTGCACACAACTCTAACATGTTCACTATAAAATCACAGATTTACAAAAGATAAAACATAGCGCTAAGTAACGTAACGATATCTAATTTAATCCTCTTGCTCCATTTTTTTAAATATTAAAAATATTATCTTTCTGATAAAATGGACACGAACGCCAATCACCGTTTTAGAGCTACCGCCCGTTTTTTTGAAAAGTTGTGTGGCGCTATTTTTGGCACTGGAGTACATGGAGAAGTAAACAATGGAGGAAAATTGGCAATAAAATGCAATACAATGTAGAAAAATGCAGTGTAGAAGTGATCAGAAAGGACAGAACAGAGAAAGCAATATTATAGTTATGTCAAATTTATGTCCATGATTATATTAAATGTTGATACTTATACCATCTTAAAGTTTTCAAAGACACATACAGTTAAAAGCTCACACAATGTTAAGATGTCAGTGTTTGTTTGTTTGTGTGTCTGTAAACTTTTTTCCTTCAAAATACTGCTCTTTCATTAGAGTTCGCCCTATTTAGATAAAATTTGTCATGCAACAGGTAAGATCAATCCTGTATATTAGCTTTTGAGTAAAACATGTGGCAATGGTTAATATATTAAAAAAAAATTTAGAAAATAAAAAATGAAATTTTTTTCAAAACATCTGCATTCAATTTTGGTACATTTGGTACTTAAGTAAAGTAAGATACATAATCCTTTTTTTAGGTCACCTGAGTCACTCAGGTGACCTATTGCTATCTGTTTTCGTCCGTCGTCGTGCGTCGTGTGTTAACATTTGAACATTTTCAGCTTCTTCTCTGAAACCGCTGAACCAATTTCAGCCAATTTTTGCATATGGCATCTATGTGTGAAGGGGAACAAAATTTGTGAATTTCATGGTCCCTGCCCCCCTGGGGCATGAGGGGTGGGGCTAAAACCATCAAAATTAATGCAATCTTTAAAAATCTTCTTCTTTACTCCTGGACATCAAGCAGTCAAACTGTTGACATGATTGTAATAAGCATTGAGCCCTCTACCAAAATTGTGAAATTCATGGCCCCAGGGTCAGGGGTTCTGGTGCTAGGGCGGGGCTATGTAGATCATATAGTGAAAGTGCATTATTTCTTTGAAAATCTTCTTCTCTACTCCTGGGCATTATTGAAACAAATTGAATACATAGTTATGATAAGCAAGGGTGACTCTACCAAAATTGTGAAATTCTTGGCCCCAGGGTCAGGGGTTCTGGTGCTAGGGTGGGGCTATATAAATCGTATAGTGAAAGTGCATTATTTCTTTGAAAATCTTCTTCTCTACTCCTGGGTATTATTTTAACAAATTAGATACAGAGTTATGATCAGCAAGAGTGACTCTACCAAAATTGTGAATTTCATGGCCCTAGGGTCAGGGGTTCTGGTGCTGGGGGGGGGGGGTATATAGATCATATAGTGAAAGTGCATTATTTCTTTAAAAATCTTCTTCTCTTCTCCTTGGTATTATTGAAACAAATTAAATACATAGTTATGATAAGCAAGAGTGACTCTACCAAAATTGTGAAATTCATAGCCCCAGGGTCAGGGGTTCTGTTGCTGGGGGGGGGGGGGGGGGGGGGGTATATAGATCATATAGTGAAAGTGCATTATTTCTTTAAATATCTTCTTCTCTTCTCCTTGGTATTATTGAAACAAATTAAATACATAGTTATGATAAGCAAGAGTAACTCTACCAAAATTGTGAATTTCATGGCCCCTGGGTCAGGGGTTCTGATGCTAGGGTGGGGCTCTATTTATTATATAGTGAAAATGCATTAATGCTTTAAAAATCTTCTTTCTCTGCTTCTGGGTATTATTTAAACAAACTAAGTACATTGTTATGATAAGCAAGGACACCTCTTCCAAAATTGTGAAATTCATGGCCCCAGGGACAGGGGTTCTTGTGCTAGGGTGGGGCTATATAGCTCCTACAGTGAAGGTGAATTATTTCTTTGAAAATCTTTTCTCTGCCCCTGGGTACTATTTAAACAAACTAAGTACATTGTTATGATATGCAAGGATGCCTCTTCTAAAATTGTGAATTTCATGGCCCCAGGGTCAAGGGTTCTGGTCAAAAGGTGGGGGGGGGGGAGGGGGACTCTATTGATTATATAGTGAAAAATCAAAATTTCTTTGAAAATATTCTTTTCTGCTTCTGGTTAAAAAGCAAAGAAGCTAAGTTTATAGTTATGATGAGCAAGA